CGCCAGGTGCGGCAACCCACCTGCTGGTGGCTTGGGGCTGCGGCATGATGCTGTCCTATCAAACAGATTACTGCAGGAGGTAAGGAGCTTGCCTGTAGGTAGATGATCTGTAACAGAAGGGGTCGGTTCTTACAAACACTTCATGCGGTTGGCATCCCCTCCTGAGCAACAATGTTTGTAAGCAAAAGAGTGGGTGTATGAAGCAGGGGTGTGTGTTGTATAGCTGGCACCTTGGGAAGAATTGCTTGGGAAGAAATACTGGAGAATGCCTTGGAAAGAATCCTTTGGCACACTTGGAAGAAGTTCTAAGTTATCCATCAGGAATTCCTGGGAAATTCTTCAGGAGCACATGGGGGAATTCCTTACGAGTTCCTGGGGAAATCCCTCAGGAATTCCTTGGGGAAATCCTCTTGAGTTCCTTGGGAAGAACTCCTCAAGACAGAATTTCTCAGGAATTGTTTCAGGACAGAACCCTGCTCAGGGAGGATTCCAGAATACTCTTTTCCACCCTGTTAAAGATGATGCACAAGATTCCAGCCGGAGCAACACAAGCAACATAGAGCAGCAGACATGCACTCAGCGGGGCCAGTGTGAACGGTCACTACTATATTGGGACTGTTGGCCTGTTGTAACGTGTCCAAATTATGCAGTGCTGCAAGGTGCCCTCTTATGGGCAACTTGCTGCTGAGTTTGGCAGCAAAACACAGTGCAGCATTTGCTTGGTTTAGTTCAAAGTTATGAACAGTGTCCTGCAAACTGCAGCAAATCTTGTATGCTTCTCCATGCCCCTGGTGAAATGGTATACCGTGTCTGTCTAGTTTCCCACACTTTGCAAGACAGTATGAGGCAGGCACAGCCAGGCCATATGCACGGGTTTCACAGGCCTGGTCTGTTAGTTCCAGCCTGGCCACGACACTGGATGTCCTGTTGTGATCTTGAAGGGCTCATGGTTTGTTGGCATGACAGCCAACCTTTGCCACAATGTCCAGTTCTTTCCCCCATCCCTGTTGTGCATTGAATGTTTGTGCATGGCTCTGCTTTGAGTGCTTGCATAACAATTGGCAAAGCACCCTGCTTTTGTACTGTCGAGCTCTGTTCGGCGGGCTGAGGCAGGGCTGCTTTTTGCAGGCAAATGTTTGCCTTCCAGCATCTGGCCAATGCTGCACAGAAGCGGGAGATCGAAGGGCGGGAAGCAAGGCGCAAAGCAGAGGGCGAGCTGGCTGCCATCCAGTCACATGTGGCCCGCCGCAATCAACAAATTGCCAGGAAGAAAGCTGATATAGAAGAGAAATCAGAGTTGATGCGGGTGATGTGCCATGAAGTGCGCACGCCTTTGAACAGCTGCCTGGCATCAGCAGAGATGCTGCTTGATACTCCGCTGCAGGTATATGGGTGTCTGGATAACCGAAACTACCTGTTACAGCTTAGTCAAGACTGGGAGTTCAGAATGTAGCTGGTGTTGGTGTAGCAGCTGTGTAGGTACCAATCAACAGTCTGGGTTGAAACATGCCATAGCGGTCCCTGAGTGCAGAGGAAAGCACACTACACCAAAAAAACACATGTGACAATATGCAATGCTTTTGGGCCTGTAGGCCGACAGGTCTGAATATCTGTACAGTGATTCCATGTGGCGAGAGTAGTATGTGTGGGTTCATTGAATCTGAGAGGCACAACATCTGGAAAATAACCTTTGCCTTAGCTCAGGACCTGCTGTCCTATGCGCACAGCCATGGCTTCCCCAGTAGTGCACAAATCAAGTGATGGGGACATGCACAATCTTGTTGTGCCTTTTGCAACGTATGGCCATAGAAGCGTATCTGTTGAGTGTCAACTGTTACTGAATGGGCAGCACATCATCAAGCATTGTAAAGTGCTGACAGTTCCACTGTCACCACTTTAGTCTGATGATGTGACTGGGTGGGAGGGTTCAGGTGTTGATTCAGAATTAAAGTGTGGGTGTTGTGCTTGCATTGGTAAATCATTTATTGCTTCTGTTGACGTTGTAATTTCCGTGGCGATTTACAAGTCCTGTCGTGTCCTCAGGATGAGCAGCGAGACCATGCTCAGACTATTCGCCTTAGTGGGAGCATCCTGCTGTCCACCGTGTCCAACTTTTTGGACTATTTCAAGCTGGAAGCAGGGAGAAAGCTGGAGATCGGATTGACGGAGGTCAATCTGCCAGCCCTGCTTTCGCAGCTGCACAGTATCATCCAGGCGATGATTGGAACAAACACAGAGGTCGACTTGACAACGCCAAGGATGCACAATGTTCCAGAGGTAAGGCTGGGACCTGGCTTGCTGCATAACTTTACTTCTGGATTCCCAAGTCTCCGCATGTGTCAGTGTCACAGGCCAATAACCCTCGAGGCGATGTTGGTGCCTTGTTGTGTTGCATCGATGGCTGTGGTTTACTGGATCACCCTGTGAAGCGGATCTGAATTTTGATTTGGTCGAATTCGGCCTGCCAATATGTGTCATATGTATTGCCACTGCACTGTTGCAGGATTAAGTTTCTGTGTGCATGTGTGGCTCCCAGGTGGTGCTCACCGATCCAGGCAGGTTGCGAGGCGTCATACTGAATCTGTACACAAACGCTGCCAAGTGCACACGGCGTGGGTTCATAGACCTCAACGTCAGTGTCATAGACCGGCCCTACGCAGTGCCCCCAGGGCCAGAATACTCGAATGTTATGGTCACCCCCAGCTCCCTCCAAGGTGCCTCCAATGGGCTTGTGGGCCTCAACACGAGCGGTCCGCCCAGCCAGGGCATGTCCCTCGTGAAAAAATTCATGCGTGACCGGCCATCTGTTGACTACACCGCAGTCGCAAGCCAACCTGATTGGGAGACAGATTTGTTCGATGGGGACAGTGTGAAGTCAGCTGGGAGTGGCACTGTGTGGGCAAGCCATGCAGAGGGGCCCCCGTCTCCCTCAGAAATTGATGAGGGTGGTGCTGGGGGCATTGATGGACAGCGTGTGGGTGCCACCTGGGCTTCAGGAAGGGTGCAGCATGTTGTTGCCCCTGGTGCTCAGGGGCAGCAGCCAGGCAGCAATGGTGGCCAGGAGGGGGCGTGCCCTGAGTGGCTGCTCTTTGAGATTGTGGACTCAGGGATGGGCATTTCGAAGAACGAGCTCAAGTCCCTGTTCCAGGAGTATGTCACTGTGGGAATGAGTCATCCCAAGACACTGACAGGGACTGGACTTGGTCTCAGCATATGTTCCAAGCAGGTGACCAAATGCTTCAGAGGCTAGCGCACCCCCCCACACTACCCTAGCCCCCAACCTCTCTTCTCACCTCTGTTTTTCTGGGGTCGTGTTCTGAGGTTGTTGCAGATGATTAGAATCTGTCACTATCAAAAACATTGCAGGCATGTAACAAAAGGCGACACATACTGTGTTTTGCTGCATAGCTTTGAACAACACCAGTTTTCGCGTTCATCACACTCAGCAAGGTGGCAAACATTGCTCAGCCACCTTCCTTGCACAATGTGCTGCCTTTCAATGCTTCTGCTCACTGCCATCCTCAACAAATGGCCTCTAATCCCCCATTTCTTGCCCCCCAGGTGGACGTGCTGGGTGGCCGGATCGGTGCCTACTCCAAGTTGAATGCTGGTTCGGTCTTCTGGTTCACCATCCCATTGATCGAGGCCAACAGAAAGCATGCGTCCATCCGACGCCTTGGCAGCCATGGTGAACATAGTCAGTAACATGCACTGGGAATGAACAGCTTTGAAAATACTGTTGAGATTGCGTGCTTCGATCTTCTTTTCGTGCATCGTGCGGTACTGATAGGCTGTTTTTGGCTGTTGGACATGCTGAGGACGTGATATGAAATTGGGTAATTGTGTAGCGCTGGGAATGGGACGTGCAGGCTTCTCACACTTGGTGCTCTAGGAATCTGCATTGTTATCGAAGCTGCTCTGTTATCTAGCCTGCCAGTACATGGCAAGCCAGTTTTGATCATCGTTTAGTGTGTACAGAACTGTCCCAATGCATATATAATATATGCATGCGAAATAAACTTAAGCTCGTTGCCAAAATAAAAGGCTGCAGGTTTTTATGGCCAGTACTGTTTATTCTTTTGTGCTCTCTACACAATGTGTTGGCATTTAGAAATAGAACAGGCCCATTCAATTGCAGGCAGGTGTTCCGCAACGAGGCCTGAGGTGGGAATGTGTGCTGAAGCTGGCATTGTTGCAAACAGGTGGCGGTGTCTGGCGACCACCTGAGCGCACAAAGCCTGGTACCACACCCAGCCCCTCTCCTCTTGTGCCAGCGCACAGGGGTGATCGGAAGAGGGGAAAGTCGATGGACACATCTGTGCTGCAGGTGGTGTTGTCAGGGATCCATGTTGATCACAGTTAGCAGAACATGACACATCAGTGCCCTTCCCTTACTAGACTGTGTCAGGCTTTGCTGACAAGAAGCAGAGCCCTTTCAGCTAGTTTCTTGTACTCATATCTACAAAATGCCCAATTGGTGCTGGTAGCAGGAATTGTTGCATTTTTGCTTGCTGCATCATCTTACTGGGTTCTTGAAGTCTGCATAAAGATGCGTGTATTGATGATGCAATCACGGCACATGTTGCCTGAGCGAGCTGACACTCGTGATCGCCACAGGACACCCTTTGAAATGCTCTTTGCGCGACAGATGTTTCATTGGTGTTTGTTTTTGGCAGATGACATCCAGCTGTCAAATAACAGAGACTGTTCATTAAATGTCATCATCCCTCTGTCCCTTGCAAATCTCTAATGTGCCCACAAGCAGGAAGCACACAATCCCTGATGAAGCTGCTTGTGCCTACCTGAAACTGCAGTTGCAAGGCAATGTTTTAACAGGAAATGCATTCGATTGGGAAATCTTTCAAACCGCACACCACCAGGCCAGCTTGCAACTGTACAGCACTTGACGGGTGTAGAGAACAGCAATTTGGTTCAGGTCCGTGTTTGGTGGCCTGGTTGGTTGTTGTGTCGTTGCAGGGCTGACCACTTGTGGATGATGTCTGCAGGGGCGCAGAGTCTTGCTTGCTGAGGATGATGTGCTCAGTCAAAATGTTACTCGGAAAATGCTGACGACCTTGGGAATGAATTGTACGGTGGTGTCCAACGGGAAAGACGCTGTGAATTTGCTGACCTCCAATGGCACCCAGGAGGCTCCGTTCGATGTGGTCCTGATGGATATGTTGATGCCCACGATGGGTGGCATAAAGGCAACACAAGAGATACGGAAGAAGGGCGTCAGAGTGCCCATCATCGCGATGACTGCCAACGCCCTTGGCAGGGATTGGGAGGAGTGCAGGTGGGAGCATAGTACTGGTCTGTTGTCGCTGTTCCTCAGATTGGATGGAGTTTCAACGCTGAAGAGCATGATGTGGGGCTTGCATGATGTTGCCATATTTTACTTTTTCCGATTCCAGAGCATTGATCACGAATTGCAAAGTATGGCGTTGTTGCATTTGATAAGATGATATGAAAGGCCATCCCTTGAGTATGCTGCGGCTTTGTGCTGCACACTCAACCTCCTAATTGGAGAATGGGCAGTGAATGCTATCCCAATAATGTGACCATTTTTGTCCACCTCAGCCTAAGCTATGAATCGCACAATGAACGCCCAACTGCGATGTGGCAAAAATCTCTTGCTGGTGATGTTTCTTTATCATTAGACGCTGTGCGGTGCCTTGGCACTACAGTGCTGTGGACACCGGAAAATTGCTGTTGCAAGCTGGAGATATTTGTGGATTGCAGCATAAATTGATGTGCCACAGCAGTAGGCGTCAGTTTGCTGTTGTTAGGATTGCAGGCAGTTGCCAGGTCGTAAAACATCATTTCACTGTCCCCTGCACATGAACTTGGCGGCATGATGTCTGTGCAGGGTGTGGCTGGGGCTTGCACATGTCTCTGCTTTCAATGAAATCCCCATGATGTGCCTATTTGCATGCATTGATTCACCAAGATTCCTTGCAAGGCTCATCAACACCAAGGTGGTCGTGTCTGCTCACGTTATAGGAAAGGCTGTTTGTTGATACCGAATACTGGTTGTTGTTGCTGGTAGCAAGGGGCACACAAGGCGTCCTAAGGTGTCTTTTGAGTATGATTGTTCATTGGAGCACGCAGCCCAGCTTTGCGATTGATATTGTTTGTCGGCTGCCCACAGGGCCGCAGGCATGGACGACTTCCTTTCAAAGCCCGTCTTCAAGGCACCCATGGCAGAGGCCCTCGTTCGCGTGTCCATGGCAAGAGGCCGCCGCAGAGGTGCGGCCAACATATAGGAAGATGGTTTGCTAACACGAGTTGTGGGTAACAAAAGGCCAGCATGTTGGGGAGGGAAGGGGGGAACGGGAGGGGGTGGCGTTAGATCAAGTTGTGGGCATGCTGGGTGGGCAGGGTTGGGGGGTGGGAACAGGGGATGGTGGTGCTTTGCTGGTAAGGGATAAACTGCAGCTTAGGCTGGGAGGAGGATCACCTCCTCTCGGTGCTTTGCTGGAGGACTTCTATTCGTTAATTCCTGTTTCTTTACATTATTTGGGCTGTAGAACAATCCGGGCATCCGAACAGATGAGAATACTTGGAGTTGGAAATTAATTCCGTTTGTACCATTGCTCTAGTTGGGCCCCGACGACTAGTCGGCTGAAACAAAGGGGTGGCGTACGCGCGCAAGGTGTGTGTGTGCCATGTGTGGGGATGTGTTTGTGGGTCATCTGTTTGGGGGGTCTGTGCCCAGTGGGCAGCAACGAGGGCCTGGATAAGAGGGTGTGCACTGCTTCTCTGAGGAGAGACGGGTGGAGGCGGAGTTCGGGGCGTGGGTGATTTCACACCCACTTGTTGCTTAGGGGTGCATGGGGGCCACCCGCAGACCGATTATTCTTAATTCTTTGTGTGGAGTGATGGTGTGGTGATGATTACCCTGTAACCACCCGTTCCTTCGCCTGCATCACAGCTGCTGGGTCCCCAGCGCACAACTTGGCACGTGCCGTGCACCATGCCGTGCTGGCCGTGCCCTTGGTTGACGAGGGGCGGCGCTGTCGTACTTGACCTGCAAATGGCCTCTGCTGGTGGGCGGTGTTGTGACCATGTCCAAGGGGTGAAGGTATTGTGCGCCGTCACAGATTTCGGCTGGATGCCGGCTGTACTCCTGCTGACGAGGCAGAGAAATGATATTGGATCCTGGGCGAGCAACCAGGGTTTCCCAAGTCTCTCGACCACAAAAAAACAACAAGCCTTGCATGGCATTCAAGCGTATTTTTGGACCTCAGCTTCTGCATCAATCCGGTTAACAACAGTGGTCTCTTGGCCGTTGCCATTTGGAGCCATGGCATATGAAGTGCCCCAATTGGTCTGAGTCGCTCATCTACTAAACCTCGTTCTCAGGTATCAGCCACAGTTTGGCAAATGCAGTTGTTCGGGTCGCCAATATATGATATGAAATTTATGGCAAGCTGGCGACCCGTGAGCCTCAAAAAGTGGCTAGGAATTGGCGCAAATCCACAAAATGTGAAGAAAGGGCTTAGCCTCCTACAAAGGGACGAACTCCAGCATAAAAAGAGAATGTGGAGACAGCAATGCGGCAAGATGTATGGGTATCTTGACGTGCGCCCAATTCTGCCAGAGTATGGGACACGATACCGACGCCACAGAGGTCCTACATCCCAAGGAGTGACATGACGCACTGGGCTCCGGGTGCCACCCCTCTGGACGAGAGCGCGCTTGGCTTGCGAAGCTGCGTCCTCACTCGGGGGAACCACTTACGACAACGCAGCACTGCCGGAAGGATGGATCTGTACCGATCGACCACTGCAGCAATCGGGATCGGGGGGCTGCGAGCACCGATGGCAATCGGTGGGACCGATGATGGCTACGACTCATAGCGAATCGTCGCCGATGGATCCACTGGCCAGGTGGAGGCCTCGAAGGCTGCTTGGGATTGCAGCTTGCGGAATGAGCAAATGGCGAGAGGCGGCAGCGCTGGTGGTGGTGCGATGCAGCAACGGTCTCACGGGACAAGTGACTGGCTTTGCGGGGCCAAATGATGTTCCGCTACCGAATTACTCACAGTGGCAGACAGGGCAGCGAACGTGAGCATCCAGTGAGATGCTGTACGTCTCAGACGTCTTCCCAGATGGGAAGACTTTGCCAATGTCGGCCAAGCTTTCCATCAAAGGTGATCAGCTAGAACTGACCCAAGAGAGGTGGTGATGCGTGCTACAACAATCTACGGCATCGGTAAGGCAATCTATGCAATTGATGACTATGCTACCAAGTTTCAAGCAAGATGACGGTCAGTCTGTGTGATTAATGGGATTAGCTAAGGACGACGTTGGGTGGGCGCACTGGCTCCAGTTTGGGCTGGCACTGTGTTCGAGTGCCATGATGTTACAAACAGCTGACAAACACCGCCAGGAAGGTGTCTACACTCAGGAACAGCAATATGATTCAACGATCGGCCATATGCGCTCAATGAGAGTCACTAAGGATACAGCCACTATCACAGCCCTGTCAATCGCCCAGGAGTTCTGAGCGTTCTGCTCTTGCACACTCAATAACTTAGCTCGTAGGAGCTCACAGGACAAAGAAGTCACCACAGCATGCAAATTCAAGCCCAACAGGGCACTGGGGTTGATGTCGAGCGCTACCGAAGCGAGGCGCAACCCCAGTGCTGAACTTCGTATTCAACTTCACCTTATTCGTTCACATACAACGAGAAACATACAAGGGCCGAGCAGTTCGAAACGAGGCACAAGAAACCACGCTCAGACTGCGAAACGACACTCCACACCTCGCTCAGTAGCTCAGTATAGCGAGCGTACTGATCAATCTCCAGATGTCGCAAACCAATGTTGTCGATGCTCGTTCCTTGCGGTCCGGCGCTGCGCTCCACTCGCTCGCCGAACAGCGGACGACGGTGACGAGCCGTTGAGTCGACGGAATCAGTGCCCAACGAGAGCGCACGCAGGTCAGTCGGTCAACGAGGCAGGAGACAAGCTCGACGATGAGCTGTGGGTATGTGCAGCGGTGCACAACCCAAGAGGCAATCGACCCGGAGGGTCAGGAGGCAAATGCACACAGAAATGAACGTGCTTGTTACAAATTCGCTCCCCTTCGACCACGTTCAACATCCACACAATCACAGCACGACCGTTCCCAACTGAACACCAGCCGTTCAGACCGCTAGAGCCAAGAACGGATGGGGTGGGGGCGGAGAGAGAGAGGAGAGGACACCCACACCCCAAACACTTCCTCCTAAATACCCCCGTCAGCTCCAAAGGCACTACACTATAGTGACCCTTGGACAGCACAACAGACCACTTGAATAAAAAGACCAAGTACCTCTTTTACAAACAGTCCACTCTCCCAGAACTTCTCACGAACCTTCACCAAGTTGACCCTTTCCAAAGTGTCACACAATTCAACCAAAAAAAGTCACTTTTGAACACTACAACATGAATCAACAGCCGTCAGTGTCCCTTGGCTTCACTCCCATCAAGATGTACTGCTGTACATCATCTTCCCATTCATGCTGCGAGGAACTAAATGCTGTAGGTTCTTGAAACATCAAATTAGGGGGAATCCCCCTATTCAACAAAAAATACATCTAATGCATTTCTCATCCCAATTACACCCATCACACCCCACAGTTCCGTAGTAGGTAGTGTCCCCCAGTTGTCTAACCCATTCTACCTCATTTTCCCCCATGTACGACATACATGCCCTCAAGTGTACCCCCTGCATCATCCAGCTTCCTTCCGGCCCTGGCAGCTCCACCTCCCATTCAGCTGTTACATAACTCTTCCATCTTGACGCGGCGACCACCCTCCAGTACGCCCGGGTGGTGCGCTCCACCATTCCCAGCGGCAGCCCCCCGTCTCCCTCGGCGAGGCCACCCACACGCCCCTCTCCGGCCCACGCAAACAGAGCGGGTGGGCCGTCCGGGCCGTCGCGCTCGGCGGCCATCCAAGCATCTCGCTCGGAGATGCTCCAAGCTCCTTCGCCGCGCCAATTCGCGGCGAAGACATTCCGCCGAAGTCGATCGCCCAACCGGACGTTGGGGATCGCCGCGACCCAGTAGGCTTGGATGGCAAACACTTGGCCGTTCACGTTCCTCACTCGCCACTGCATCGTGGCATCAAAAGCTGAATGGAGCCAAAAGTGGGGCGTTCCGGGGCCGGAGGCCATGGCCCATGCCTCCGCTCCATTGAGCCCATTGCGGCACGTGAGCACAACTTTGCCCGCTTCGTCTAGGCCGACCAAAGGCTCCCCCGGGCCCCTTCATCCCTGCGTGCACGGATCCACAAATATCCCTGGAGGAAGAGAAAGCACCGCTCCGCCATGGAGCATGGCGGAACTGGAGGGTCCGCCCGCACCGAACGCGAGCGCGTTCGACCCACCTGCGGAATGTGGGGATGCTCCGGCCATGGCGAGGGAGGGCTTCCGACAGTCCCTGCAAGGTCGGGGAGGCTGGGGTGTTGCGGCGCGCTGAGCAGACCGGGCACAGCGGGCGTAGGTGGGGCGCAGGCGTAACCCGCGGGGACCAGATGTAGGAGGGCGCGGTCACGTCCGACATATGGTACATTATACAAATTGCCAAAAAGTTGGTCTCCCGTACGGGTGCAAAACTACAAAGTATTGTTAGCAGCCGCTCACAACGTCCCATCACGCCTCAATGGACCCCTATACCCTGCCAGTACTTGTCCTGTCAAGGTCCTAGGACCTTTTGCAAAAGTTCAGGTCCATTCAAGGACACCCCCTACGGTTCATGGTCTTTTCAAAACGGGTCAGAAATTGGCCGTTTTTCCTTCCGAAAGTCACTCAAGAGGTTCTTGATACGGTTGCTTTTGTAGATGAATTAGATGTATTTGATTACCCTAAATGGGTCTGAGTTGGGTAAACTGGCCCTGGGGTGGTTACAAAGGACATGGGACAATGAACGGAGCAATTAAAGACAATCTTGTATAATGTACAAATGTAGTAACCGCCCGGGGATTCCAACTCCCCGATTCATCCGACCTGTGCGCCCGCGGGAGCAACGAAGCTCCCTGCATCATTGGTTTCTGAGCGCGGAGCGTTCGAGCGGCGAGAACACACCGGCCGACGGCCGGGATGGCGAGTGGGGATCCTCGCCAGGAGTCTGGGAATCCGGGGGACCAATCGGCCGGGCAATTGGTGCCCTATCGAGGCGGGCCGACCCCCATGGAGCTGAATGGAAACGGTGGAGGAGTGACGGCTTTGCAGCACGGCGAGGAAGACGATCGACCGGAGCAGCTATTGCTGCGCC